TGAGCAAAGGGAGTGCCTAGAAGCGATGGCAAGAAAAATGGATTTATGCCAGTGGGAAAAAGAGGGGAGCGAAATCCTGCCAGCCGCGATCTAAATTAACAGGTCGTTGACTTGATTACACGGAGAAAAATCTATCTGTAGAAACAGATTGCATTAGAGACAAACGGCAGTGAAGTGCTAGAGGCCTTAATGAACTGCAGTGCTGACTTAGATTTCCAGAAGCGAAGCCATCCATGGCCGGAGGGGAGCAGAAGCGAGGAGGCAGCTGAAAAATTGCCACTTCTTTTCTCAGCCAGGGCTCCTCTGCCTCTAACAAGAGAAATGACAGGCCGATGCTCCACAGCGGCTTGCCCTGCAGCGAACAGAGGGGTGGCTCCCGCATTTATTTCTGTATCTTTTACAGCTGATTCACAGCAGGCTGAAATCAGGCTGCAGAATTCCTCCACATTTTGTTGTGAGAAATCACCACTGGCTTGTTCAGATCTTTTTCAAAACAACATCAGCCTCGTTTTTGTTTTTTTAAAAAATTATTTGGCAACAACAGCTTTCTTTCAAAAACAACAACTTTCATAATTATCATCATCCTCATCACAGAATGGCAATGCCGGAAGGGATCCTGTAGAGATCATCCAATCCAGCCACGGGTCAAAGAGGCTCCGCAGGGGAATCGAACTCCCAACCAGAGACTTAGCCCACTGAGCTATCCATAAAGACAGTCTCTACTCTGCTCTGAACAAATTCTTTTAATAAGATTTATGTTGTGATACATCCAGTGTCTAAGTCAGTCATCGTAGACTACGATTCCCAGCACCCACCAGATAATGGGAGTTGTAGTTGAACATTTCTAGAGAGGGGCAGGCTGGAAAAAGCGAATGCTGGTTGTCCTGCTTTTTGCTTCATTGGTTTTCCACATTGAGGATGCTGCCCACATTTTTGAGGACACAGACTTTGATATAAAATGGCCTTGGATCCATTGGAGGATTTACCCCCTGCATCGTATAGCTGCATAAACCGTGGCAGCTAATTGCCATGGATTAAAGAATGGCTGCTCTCATTCTAGGTATGGTGTTTGCTAGAGATATGCCATATTTTTCCGTGTATAAGACTATACTTTTGTCTAAAATCTTTAGAATAAAAATTGAGGGTCATCTTATACACGGAAGTAAGCTGAGGAGAGAGAAAAAAACAAGTGGAGGGGAAAGCAGGGATCAAAGTGATCCTGTAGGGCTTTGATCCCTTTCCCCCCTACACGTCCTAAGTCCCACTTAGATTTCTTACTTTTGGTTTAGAAAAGTGGAGGGTGTCTTATACATGGGGGCATCTTATACACAGAAAAATACAGTATGTTTCCATTTTGTTCTTACTAGAATTGGCCACAAGAGGGAGCCAGAGACCATGTAGTGCTTGCTATTCTTTTAGCATTTGCTATAATCCGCATAGCTCAGCATCCGTGGGGGGTTTTAGTCTGAACTTTATGGCCGCATGCTAGGTCGTATTTGCTGTTCTATTAGTGCTTGCTATCTTCTGCATATCTCAGCATCCGCAGGGGTGCGTGTGTCTTGGAACCGATCCCCCGTGGCTAGAGAGGCTTTATTGTAACTCTGACACCCTCCATCTCGGTCCCCCAGTGACAGGCTGAGCCGGTGGCGAAGCGATGGTTCCTGACTGTGGCTGATTCCACCGCTGCCGGAATATGCAGCCCGGGGGCCTTCCTGGCAGGGCAAAGGCAGCGGGCTGCGCCGAGGAGCCGATCGCCACGTCGCGCACGGGGGCCACGGCCGGGAGGCATGGTGACAACGTTCAAAGTGGCTGTGCTGGGTGCTCAAGGGGTCGGGAAGAGCGCCATCGTCCGCCAGTTCCTTTACAACGAGTTCAACGAGGTCTGCGTCCCCACCAAAGCCCGACGGGTCTACCTGCCCGCTGTGGTCATGAACGGCCACGTCCACGACCTGCAGATTATGGACTTCCCACCCATCACCTCTTTTCCGGTAAATACTTTGCAGGTAAGTCGGTGTGTCCTGAAACACCTGTGTTCTCTCTCTAAGATTCTTTGTCTAGTATCCTGTGAAAGAGGGTTCCGGATTCTTTACGGAGAATCCTGTGCAGGAAAGATGCCATCCTGAGCAGGACTCTTAACTCTCCTGTGCAAACTGGTGTTTCTACTACCGTCTCCAGGGGAATCCTGTCCCAGAGAGATAGCACTGGGCCCACAATCCTGGTTTGGTTTGGCTTTCTACCCAAGTGGATCTCACATCTGGTCTTCCTCTTTTCCTTCTGCCTTCCACTTTTGCCAACATTATTGTCTCCTCCAGAGAATCCTGCCTTCTCAGGATGTGCCCAAAGTAGGACAGCCTCAGTTGCATCATTTTCTTTTTTACCTCCAGAGATAGTTCAGGTTTGGAAGCTCAGAGAGGTGGAGGGAGATGAGGTGATGATGCACTCATGTTCGAGTTAGGATCCAACTTTCAGGATATGGAAAGGCTGGAGCGTTGTCTTATCTTTTTAAAGACTGCCATGCTGGTGGCTCCCTTGCCAGTGGGGCAAGGAATCTGTACCGGATTTTAGTCCGAACATCACAGAAGCTGTCTGCCATACTGAACCTCCCTCCCTCCAAATGGGCTTGGCACTTCGGAACGCTCTCACAACCCTCAAAATAAATCCCAGTTCCCCTTCACCACCTCACTCGCAAGGCAGCCCCCCCAGGCCTCCCCCAGGGCTAGGCTGGGCAGCCCCAGGCCTCCCCCAGGGCTAGGCTGGGCAGAGAATTCTGAGCTTTGTAGTCCTTGTCTGTACATTTTTATTATTGCCGTGAAGAGAGGGGGTCAGTGTTCCTTGACTCAGGCATTTGCGCGTATGGTTGAGGACTTTCTTTTTCCATCCTCGGGCAGCGAAATGTCTTAGCCTGCATTGAAGGGGGACGGTTTAGAGAAAGATATCTCTGTGC